CAAACTTCGTCAGCGGATACAACTAAAGACGTTACGCGCTGGGGTACTTACTTTGGCTGAACCAAGCAACGAAATCTGCTCCACTGACGCCCCTCGCCGATAGACAGGTACACTCCGAGGTATATACTTTTTTATTCAAATATACGAGGATGATATTTTCAATTTTATTTGGTATGCATTTGTAGCAACAGCATGATAACATTTATTTGTTTTTATTTGCGTTTTATATTCATATTGATAATTCACGTTTTGTCTTGGATAATAAAGCACGGTTATGCATAATAAATTGTATGCATAATAAATATTCACTATCACTGTATGAGGTAAGAATCAACAGCTTTTTATCACATTTACACAACACTTTATGAATACAAGTCATGAACAAATCTTAAATATGGCAGGGGATGTGTTTACTTTTTTAGTTTTGATTTTGAGCAGCAAATTTGGAGTTACATATTGGTGCTCACCAGGAATGCATAGGCAAAATTGCACAAATTTCCACTTGAAAGAATAGTGGCGATCTTGGGATTTTTTTCTGTTCAATTTTCAAACTGTAAATTTAATAGACTTCATCTTCAGCATGTTTAGTGCCACTTTTGTAAGTAACCACGCCCCCGTCCAGGCCACGCCCCTTCCGCTTTTTTTCATCACTCGCCATTGCCATGTATGCAAAATTCAAGGCAGTTGATCGAAGCACTCTACATGTTGCCCTACAAATCAGCCCACTTTCAAAATTTTAGCCCTCTCGCTTTAACTTTTCCCCCACAGGTCTGTGGTTTGACTTGGACGTTTCCTACAGCGGTTCCTTCCTGATGACCCTTGAAACTAAGATGAACCTGATTCGCCTGGGCAAGGAAGGAGAAAGCCTCCGGTTCGGGGAAGATGGGTAAAGAATCCAAATGATAATCATCACTAATTGAAAAAAAGGGGCACTTGGTTGTTTCCATCTTCTGTTTTATGGGTTTCCCCCCTGCATATAATATATAACGCTACTCTTCGTTTTCAAAAATCACGTTTTGTCGAGTCAACTTCACCTGTTTTTCTTGATTTTTCTGACTTCTCTTCCTCCTTTCTACTTTCTTGGATTCTGCTTTTATGCTGCGGTTGTACGGATACATTTCTGTTGTTGGTAAGTGCTGATTGACCACATTCAACATTCTATGCCTGCCGAGTTTGAGATGTGGCATTTTATATCCATAAGTGGTAGTGAATTCCATATTATTCTCGAGAACCCCTTATGAGAAATGTAGAGCAATAATATGTCGAGTTAATCGACAACTATGTTATTAATATGCAATGTGCCTGTACATTTGGGGGGGGGGGGAAATCACATGGAGAAGTATGTTATGGGTTTGCCCAGACCATGTAGATGTGATACAGGATGTGAACAAGGGGGGCCCTGCAGTAATTCAATTGTATGTCTGTTGGTGTTGTGATAGATCCAGACCCCGAACTTACTGCCTGGCTGACAGTGATGAGGAGTCCTCCAGCGCAGGCTCATCGGATGAAGAAGATGCTACTGAGCAATCAAATGAAGTCCCTGGAGCAGAAGGGTGAGGAAGGGTCTCCAAATGTTATCATATGTGCTGCAACAAGCTTGTGTTGGGCACCTACTGATGTTTCCCAGAAGAGGAGATACCGTATTTTCCACACTAAAAGGTGGACTGGATTATGAGGCGCACCTTCAATAAATGTCCTATATTGCAATTGTTTTCATGTATTGGACGCATCGCACTATAAGACGCAATCTACAATGCATCCACTAGATGGAGCTACGCTCAAGGAAATGCCGACAGAACACGACAACCTGATTTGTATAGCGACGATCAGATGTCAGTAAAACTTATTTAATAAAGCAGCGACACAGTTCACTTCACCAACAGCAAGTTATAAAATGACTCATTAACGTTGAACTCTCTTACCGCCGCTCTATTTCCGTGTTCAACTGCGTAACAAATCGCCTTAAGTTTGAACTCTGCACTGTCAGCATGTCTCGAGCAAGGAGCCATTTTGGGGTCGAAATATTACAGTAATGACCATACAGAAGGCGCTTCGGATTTTAAGGCGCACTGTGAGCTTTAAAGAAAATGGATGGCTTTTCGGTGCGCCTTTTAGTGCGAAAAATACGGTACTCATTTTCCTATGTGTCACTGTACAGTGACCCATAGCTACTACATTGCTGAGTAATTTTGTATCGGCGACTCGCACAACAGCAGAACCAACGCATTTCCTTTTTTCTTTCAACTTGAGTGAATGCCACAGATTGTGGGCACCATGCTTCCCTCTGCTGATTAAGAAATTAAATACAAGGCGTCTGATTGCTTGTGAAGATTCAAATTCATCCAGGTCGTTTAATTCTTGGGCCTCATTATTAGATTGTCCTATGAGATTATCTTTATGTCTGTGGTGTGTGAAGTGTGGATTTGTCCCAATAATGAGGACAAAAGGAGTCAGTCAATTTTAAAAAAATGAACGTGTTCAGTATTTATGGCCAACAATTTCCATGTGTGGAGCGAAAAGCTGATGACTCTCGAGCTGTTTGACTCAGTGGATGAACAAGAAAAGTTGGAGTCAAGAAAAGAAAATCTGTCCTTGCGCAAAAGTATATTCCAAAACTCGCCCTTAGTTGCCGACATCGCCATTTTACAACGCTCCAGAAGGTCATGGCAGTGTGTGTCCGTCAGCATCACTTCTTCTTTGATTTTGAGTGACCAGGTATTATCACGCGTGATTTCTGTTTCTGTGGTCATTGGTGGTGTAAGTGGATGTGTGTGTGTGTGTGTGTGTGTGTGTGTGTGCGTGCGTGTGTGTGTGCGTGTGCGTGGCAAAATCATGCGCTTTGTCGACAAGATCACCAGGTCCAAATACTTCCAGAAAGCCACGGAAACAGAGTTCATCAAAAAGAAGATGGAGGAGGTATCCAACACCCCCCTCCTTCTAACGGTGGAGTTGCAAAAACTGCAAGGCACTCTTGCTGTCAATATACCTCCCCCGCCCACTGACAGGATATGGTATGTTGAAAGAGAGTTTCATCTTCATACCCTGTGAAATGAAAATCATGCACTTTTAACATCAAAAACTGCAGTGAATTAGCTGCCTTCTTGTTGTCGTAAATGTAAACTTTTAACCGAATGTTTGGGAAAATGTTTTTCAGGTATGGCTTTAGGAAGCCCCCGCACTTGGAATTGAAGGCACGACCTAAACTGGGAGAAAGAGAAGTGACTCTGGCTCATGTTACTGACTGGATCGAGAAAAAACTGGAGCAGGAGCTTCAGGTACTCATGCGCCGTTTATTGCATAGCATTTAGATTCCAAGTCACTCAATCTTAGAAAGACAAACATCTCTATGTGTTCAATTAATGATGTCGTGCTGATCAGTAGTTCAATTTTATGCACCATTTAAAAATTTAGTCGCAGTTTTAATCCTGTTTCAATCACGCTTGTTTTTGTTTGATGACAGTTAGTCAATCTCGTCCCATTTTTTATTTAGCCAAGTTTTCCTCGACTATAAGTTGAACATTTTTATCTTTATTTTACTCCCAAGAAAACGGAATTTTATTTGTCTCGTTGTAGTCAACAAAAACTCAACTCTCAACTCAACTGTATTTATAGAGCACTTTAAAACAGCCATCGCTGTATACAAAGTGTTGTACATGGAGCGAATATCATATATGCAACAATAAAACAAATTAATAACGAAGACAGTAGAAAGCACGAAACAGTAAAACTAAGATCAAGTTTGAGTCATGCTGAGTCAAATGTCAAAGAGTGAGTTTTGAGACGAGTTTTAAAGATGGTCAGCGAGAGGGCTTGCTGAATGTTCAGCGGGAGGTCATTCCAAAGAGAGGGACCAGCAACGGAAAAGGCCTCATCCCCTCTTTGCCTCCGCTTAGTTCTTGGTACTTCTAATAATGTCTGGTCCGCAGACCTGAGGCACCGGGCATGTGAATCACGCCTGAACTTCATCGAGAGAGTTGGTCATCAGTGCCAAGAAATCCTATGATTTTGGTCTCGTCTTTGCTCATGAACGAAAATGTCCATAGATTTTTAGCCCAGTCTTTATTTAATGAACGACATGTTCATCTCGTTTTCACTAGTCCACCAAATTGCATACTGATTTAGTCCCAGTTATCATTTCCCAGCTCTGTTCTGCATACGACAAAAATTGAAGTCTAGATGTGATTAGCTTTTCTTGGCTTACCTGATTGCTTGCCACAGAGATATTTTCAGAATTGTGACAGTTTAATCTTAGAACATTTTATTTTTATTTCCTTTGTTTCCAATTAGATTTTTTTCCCCCCAAATATGAATTGGAGGTAAAACAGATTCCTGGGATTCATTTTGTTTGTACATGAGTCGTAATGTGTAAACAATAACCAGTCAATGATCTCGTCACTCTTTATCTGCTTTTTTTCAGAAAATTTTTGTAATGCCAAACATGGACGATGTGTGGCTGACGATCATGCACTCAGCCATGGACCAACGAACTGCTGCTGGTACTTTGGCTTCTTCTGCAGCGGACCAACAGCCGTCCCACCCGGACAGCGACGGCACCAGCTAGCCACAAAACTAAAAATGACTAATGCTTTACAGTATCACCCAACCGATAGGAAACGTAAATGAACAAGATCGTTAACACAAATACTGTCACTAAAGAAGAATGTATGTGCTGCTCTGATATATCGCATTTGTCATGCTTGGAAGGATTTTCATGGAAGAAAAAAAGGTAATGGGTGATAGAATGGCTTGGTTTTAGCTCTTAGGGTGCGATGTCTGACCTCCTTATTGCGCTACAGATATAGATATATAGCATTCACCAGATGTCTTAAGGCCTTCAAAAAAAGAAGACGCTATTGAGGCCATAGAAAGTGAGCAGATAGCGTAGCGGGTTTTGAGGGGGCAACTAAAATGTAAAGCAGGGTTGTTGTTGATCAGGTGTTAACGAAAAGTATTTCTTTGTGCTGTGACTTCAACCTGAATGCCGCCTTACGCTTATGCCAATAACGCCCTTGATCCATGTCTGTCTGGGAATAATGCCCAAGGGCAGAAAATGAGAATTTACTGTGTACATTCCATACCTACAGGTGAACACAAGTGCAATGATCTAAAAATGCTGCGTCGACTAATGAATGATGTGGAAGAGGTGTAAAAGTCTACTGAGAAGTTTTTTGTTTAACACATCTATTGAAAGTACGTGTGGGTGGTTTTGCTTCTTTAATGATAAAATGAAGAGTGTAACTTTTTGATTGAGGTATGCAAATGACTGCACGAGGAAGTTTTCCTTTTGACGTTCTTGCGATAAAACTATGTACAGTGTGTCTCAATAATTATGTTGGCGTCATTATCTTTGCAATGTTTATATTTAACAAACATTGAAGGGTTTGAAGTAAATTGAGTTCAGCAACTGAAATGAAAGGCCAAGCTTGCAGAGGGCTCTCATTACCATTTGTAAACTCGTCCTGTAAGTACGACTGGTAGTCTGTTTGATGATGCAAAGGTACTCTTATCGCAAAAACTCACTTGCCAAGAATGTATAGGCTTGTAGGTTACTTTTTTGGGAGAAAAATTGATGTGTCATAATTTCCAACGTTAACCAAAGTCCTACCATTGGGCATAAAGTGCCAGACATCTCTGCTAAACGGTACACACGCATCCATTACAATAAATGTTATGTGTTAAGTTACAATTGCTACATCACATTTATCATTGTTTACAGGAATCCCCCCCATTATTGTAAGTATACGCCATGAGTCAATGTGATTGTTTACCCATATGCCTTAGTAGCAGCTTTTTGTCAAGTGTTTTTTACACGAAGTGACGGGTGGCTTCTGTTTTTGTCTACTTTGGAATGAATTGAATCACGATTTTGAGGGTATATGAAGATCGCGGCTATTTGTGTCTGAATTATTACTGACCTGTTAAAATGGATGTGCAATTTTTAAGGCCAAATTTAGTCATTGTGTATCTATCTTATTTATGGAGCAGAATAAATCTCAAATCGATGAAATCTTTTTTATTGGATCTAGTCTATTGTTTTTTTTTTTTGTTTTTGTTTTTTTGTCAACAAAAACTGCAAAACTTGCCTGCTTGGTTGAATTGCATTTGAGCCCTCACCCTGCTTTTTTGTGCGCTTCTGTCATGAATTCAAGTAATTTGGCAGGAGTCCAGGGGTGGTCTAGAGTACCCCAGAACTGGTCTGGCTCTGGGACAACAAAAGATGAATTTTGAATTTTTTTTGAAATCGGGTGTTTATGCAGATTTATTCATTCATTCATTTTCCGATCCGCTTATCCTCATGAGGGTTGCCGGGGGTGCTAGAGCCTATCCCAGCTGTCTTCGGGCAGTTGGCAGGGGACACCCTGAACAGGTTGCCAGCCAATCGCAGGGCACACAGAGATGAACAACCATCTGTGCTCACACTCACACCTAGGGACAATTTAGAGTGGTCAATCAGCCTGCCATGCATGTTTTTGCAATGTGGGAGGAAACCGGAGTACCCGGAGAAAAACCCACGCAGGCCCAGGGAGAACATGCAAACTCCACACAGGGAGCCCGGAGCGGGGATTGAACCCAAGACCTCTGCACTCTGAGATCGACGCACTGGACCACCTGGCCGCCTTATGCAGATTTAAATTTAACTTAATTTTCTTCACCGGACTTTTTTTTCTGGATACAATCTTGATGCCTGATACAGTTCGCATTCTCCCAATAGGTGAATGTGTTCGCTGACAACAGAGAGATTATTTGATAGTATTATTTCAAATCCAAATCACGGGTGCGACTATATATATGCATTATTTGTTTCGCTTTTATTTTGAAGGTGGCGAAAGCATAGCATACCAAGCATAACACAATACAAAATCGGAACAATCGTGGTGGCGGCTGGCTTGACTTCGTTTTTCCGTGTGGACTATGGAGGCAGATTTTTTAATTGTGTTAAAACACAGCTCCGTATGACATTAGATTTGGTCTTCCTCCAGCGGAAGTTTAGGGTTGCCAAGCAACCCTTTGTGGTCCGCGGCAATGCTCTGGAAGTGCAACGCTCGTGAGTCTTTTGGGTAAATCGTCAATTAATACTAAATACACGCGTCGGTGTGTTCAACGCTGGACAAAATTTTGCGTCAGGTAACAACCTACTACCTGCTTTAATTAAAACGATGTTAAGTAGTTTTGTTCATAGTTTCTCAAATTGCACTTGTTAGTTTTACGAGCCGGTCGTTATTTATTTTTCCGCGTCAAATGAATGATTGCATGTTATCGTACCTAATGTTGTGGTTTTATTGCTAACTATCAGTCTGGATGGAGAGAGCCGAAGAGCAATTCGCAGTCGGGGAGGGGTGGGTGGAGGCAGAAGAGAAGCATAACGAGCTGCTTGTTGACAGTGAACAAGAGGAGGCCGACGTTGTAGCAAATATGTCTCCTTCACGGGTAAATGTGTAGAGCCGACAACCAGTTTGAAGACTATGTATTCAATTTCAATAATTCCATTCAAATCACTGTCATTGTTCTCACATCAGCCAGGATCAGAACCTGTTGATGTGGGCCAACAGTCTCAGGCCGACAACACTGGTGCTGATGGAGACACTGCTGCAACTGGACTTACTGGTCTTGGTCTGTCTTGTATCTCATGTACTGTATTCTAAGATTTATTGCAAAGAAAAACAATGTAGTATAAAAACGACAAATTCCATAAAGATCTAGTGCAGTGTTTCTTAACCTTCTGAGAGGTACTGAACCCAACCAGTTATTATGCACATTCACTGAACCCTTCATTAGTGAAAAATAAATACATATTTTTTTTACAAATTCAAGATATGGAAAAAAAACGCATTTATTAAAAACAGAAAAAAGTAAATAAAAATTCATGATATAGGTATACTTTTTCTTTTTTTAATTGTGATAGTACGTCAGTCACACGTTGACTACTAAGCGAACAAAATTTCCCACAGCACCGATTGGACAAGCAATGCAATGTGATCATCTGCAGACAGTGCTGGCCAAGCAGACGTGTCATTACTAATTGACATCTTGAGTCGGGTCTGTCTTACCCTTGATGGCAGAGGCTCCGTCAAACCCCTGAAACCGATTCACCGAACCCCTAGGGTTCGATCAAACCCAGGTTAAGACTCACTGATCTAGTGTGAGCTACTTTAAAATGGAGCATGGTATACAGGCATACTAATTTAGTATTACTAATAAGCATAATTGAATTTTGCATAACTATTCATGACAGTCTTTTATTTTTTTTTTTTTAAATGTGGTATTATGACATTTTTCTGTTTTTCAGAACAGGACAATACTTCCCGGGTTGGGTCACCAAGCCACTTTGTAAACTCATCAGAGGACATGGACGAAGAACCACTGATGGAGGAAGAAGTTGAACTGATTGTTCTTGATTCTGAACATGTCTGTAGTACCTTCAATATTTCTGAAAATACTGTATATTCATTTCATTGTAGATGTCATTTAAAATCCAATTCTGTCCAATTGAAATTTAGAGATGTATGGTGGTTGTACATTCTGGAAAACAAAAAAAAACATGTTGACGCTCTGGTGCTGTGTTTTCCAAATATGTGTAGTTAAATGTTGCTGTTTAGAAATCACTGCTCTCAAGAGACAAGTTTGCTCCTGGATTTTTTGCAAATGTGAACAGAATGATTCAGATTTCATGTTTATATGTTGATAGCCTCTGGTTGCAAAGAAGCAAGCTGCGCTGAAGAATCAACTAATCAAGGAGCTGGAGAGGCTCACACTGGATCTAAGGGAAGAGGTTAGATTAGCTTGATTTTTCATGGGGACGCACAAAGAAGTGTGTGCTTCACATGCACTTACTGTTAACATTTCCCTGATCACTCATTTTATATTTATAGGCTTTTGTGTGTGTGCGTGTGTGTGCTTTCTGCTACTTGTGCAGTTGGGAATTGAGAAGGCAGAGGCGAGCCAAACAGAAGAAATATACGTGCAGTTGTTCAGGGAACAGGAGAGGCTCAAACGACTCCAGACAAGACTAGATGGCCAACAGCAGACCAAGATCTTGGCTGAAGGCAAACATCGACAGGTGCAAGAGGAACTTGAGGTGGTTAGATCTAGCCAGTCCAGCACTACCAGCCAGCGCAACAAGGAGAGGGCCAATGGTGAGATGCTCGGATCACTCTGAGATTTATTTTCCTCATGACTTTTGATAAACCCTGATCTCATCTTGCATGGAGTTGTTTTGATGTACAATATTCATCACTATATTGAAGTAGAGGTGCTTGGAGTGCTTACTTGCAAATGGCCTTGGAGTATTTTTGGAAGGACTGGCAAGTGTCTCATGGTTTCCCCACTTAGAATGGTTTACCTGTTCAATCTGCGCTCCCTGAATCGACAACAGTCGAAAAAGCTGCAATGTATGCTCTGTCTCGATCTAAACAAAGTGTACATACTTGGGCTGCAACGAAAGATTAATTAATAATTCAATAATAATAATTGATAACACAGTGGTACTTCTACTTACGAACGTCTCTTCATACGAAATTTTCAAGTTACGAAACACCTTGACAGGAAAATATTGCCTATTGTTACGAAATAAATTTCAAGACACAAAAGGTAAAAACACAGTGTGGGCTGCTACTCGCAGCTCCGAGTTTCCTGAACGCAACATAGCTGATCTGCCATCGGCTATTACCGAGGATCATCCTGGCATCCCATCGGCTAAGAGGGACAATGCAATGCAGTGTCCTCATCGTTCGCCCCTCGGGCCATGAGACTTTCCGATAGTTCTACGTTTGTTTGTTTGTTTGTTTGAGACTTTCCGCTAGTTCTACGTAAACGTGAATCACCCAGAAAAAGTGTTCACCACTCGGACGATCGCTCACGATGCTGATGTTTGCCTTAGACATTCAAAGGATTGTTAAACGCCTTGGATCAGTTCTTTACAAAACGCCAGTCAAAAACCACTCCTGAGAGAGAGCATGGACTAAAAAGGACAAAAAAAACAATGACGACGCAGTTAAAAGGTAAATAACCATCATTTTTATTCTTTACTCTATTCTTTGTTTTTTACATTATGCACAACTATCATTTATTGTGAAATAATCTAATTGTAACATGTATTTGTTACATATTTTTATGCATTTCTATTCTTTAGAAAACATTTACCGGTATGTCTGAATTTTCAGGGGGCTTGGAACGGATTAGGGCATTTACATGGAAATCGCGTCTCTACTTACAAAATGTTCCAGTAAAAAATGTCTTCCAGAACCAATTATTTTTGTAAGTAGAGGTACCACTGTAATAATAATTCTTAAAAAACAATTAATTTTTTTTCCATTTTAAAAAAACAACAAGATTTTAACCCAGAATCTTTGTTATGAAACAAACTTTCTAACCAGCCAGTCACCGTGCTGCCAATGTACAAATCACCTTACCGGTATTTTAAAAACATGGCTTTTTCTTATCCATAGTATCCAACCTACAAACAGAACTGGACAAACTGAACTCACACCTCAACTTCACACAAGAAGTCAGTGAAGATCTGCATTCTAATGTCAAAGCCATGAAGAATGTCACTCGCAAAACAGCAGCTACGAAGTCCCAAGTCGAAGAGCAAAAACTCAAACAGGTGAACAGGTTTAAACACAATATACAGTGCCGTGAAAAAGTATTTTCCTGATTTCTGTGTTCTTTACATATTTATTACTCACAAAGATTTCAGTTCATCAAACCAATTTTAATATCAAACAAAGACAACCAATGATGATTTCATTTACCAACGGGGAATAAAAATTAAAACCTATCTGGCTCTATGTGGAAAAATTAATTGCCCCCCTTGTTAAATCACAAAGTAACTGTGACTAACGACAGTTTTGGGAAAGCTGAGTTCAATTTCACTGAGTTTGGCACCCTAGCACCACATTTGTTGAATCAAGAAATCACCTCAATAGAATCTGTCAGACAAAGTGAAGGAGGCTACAAGATCTCAAGAAACAAACACATCATGCCACGGTCTGAAGAAATTCAAGAAGAAATTAGAAAAAAAAGTTCTTAAATCTTAACAGTTTGGAAAAGGCTTCAAAGTCATCTCCAAGACTCTGGGGCTTGAGCAAACTACTGTCAGAGCCGTTATCTACAAATGGATGAAACTGGGAACAGTGGCAACATGACTATTTCACAGCACTATGTAGAATCCATTGCAACCATGATCAGTGTTGACTGATTTACTTTTATGACTGCACCAACAGGACATGTATGTGGAGCACCTCACAAAGGGCTTGGAGCGAGTGACACAACAGAAGGATATGTATGAGGTCCAGACCAAAGCCCAGGCAGAGACAACGGCGGCAACCAAGGAGGCTCTTTCTGAAGTACGTACAGCACAACATACTGACAGTTGTGGACTGTGAAGGAAATGCATTCTCCCCAAGTTGCAGTGAAAACAAACATTATTCTTTGTTGAGACATTAGAGACCTTTGTCTACAGCAGGGGTGGCCAACCAGTCAGAGACGAAGACCCAATTTTTTTTACTGTGTTACTCCAAAGAGCCACATCATACCCTTTCTCGTGCGCGCTCGCACACACACACACACACACACACACACACACACACCCTTTTTGGCCCAAAGATCGACTTTTGAAGCGATTAACTTCCCACGATCGACCCGATTGCGAATGTGCAAGCATACGTACACACCCACACACACACACGCGCACACACGCGCACACACGCGCTCGCATGCACGCAGGTGCCCACCCGTGCACTCGCGTACGAATGCACGCACGCCACGAAGAGCAACAGTCCGAAAGGGCCGAAAATGAACGAAAGCGAAAGACAAAAACAAAAAAATCTTTATTTCCCACCCATTTCCTCCTCCCACCCCTTGCGGTCGTCTTGGGACCAGTTCACAGGCTCCCGGTCGATTGCGATCGACGTATTGGGCACCGCTGCCTGAAAATCAGAGGTAATTCAATGACTAGCTTAGCGCTTAGCGCCGTTGTTTGCGCATGAGCGGTGATGCAGTCATCTGATTGGTTGCCCTCTATGTCAATCAAGTAACGGGATTGATGATAGTCTGACGTAGTACGTTCTGTGTATTTAGCGCCTTGGTTTGAATGGCATCGCCACTGCCGAGGCATTCTCGACGCTTGTCGCGTGAAAGCCCGGGAGCCGCATTGAACCAGTCAAAGAGCCGCATGCGGCTCGCGAGCCGTGGGTTGGCCACCACTGGTCTATAGTGTTCCCTCACTTATCGCGGTTTATGGGGACCAAGAAAGTAAGTGAAAAACCGCGAAGGAGGGTTGCTCCGCCCTAGGAATTTTTTTGTAAGTGTATGTGGGTACCAGCATGTTTAAAATATGTAAACAGGATTTATACTTGACATATTTGAGACAAAGACAACAACAGTACACGTATTCATTGAAATCTTCGATTATAACACCTTATACAGTAATTAATATTCGTCAGCATTGCCTACTGAGGGAGAGACGAAGACACTTGTGTTAGTCTCACTTTACACTCTGACGGTGTGGCCGCCGTTAGCCTCCAGCTAGCTACTGACCAGCTATCCCCGTGCAGCCGATGTGTTTATGATAAGACAATTAATCGGTAGTGATGAGAAGGAGGCGAAGAGGGACCTGCTGCTTGTTTCGGACAAGCCCAATCAGTCTCTCTCTCTCTCTCTCTCTCTCTCTCTCTCTCTCTATCCCCAACAGAAAAGCACAG